GAATTTTGAAGGCGAAAGAGCCTTAGTTCGCCTGAAAGCGTTTGATACTAACAGGATTCGGAGACGGTTTACCTTCGAGCTAGCTCGTTTTCTGTCGATGCGAACTCGCGATGTGTTCAAACGTCATGGGCTACTGATCGACCAACTTCCACCAGGGCCAATCGGTTGGGATCTCTGCGACAACGATAGTAATGAGGGTAATTCTTTTGGGAGTGACGAAGCGAAGGAAAGGGAAAGGGAAGAAAGGAGGACGAAGGCGACGATGGAGCAGGAAAACATGGAGGAGTGGAAGAGAGCAAAGGGTTTGAGCCAGATGACCTTCCCCTGAGTGCCATATGCCCATCGCCGTTGAGGATTCTTCCCCTTTTACCACAGGCACTGGTAGGGGAAAGGGGCTATACAAGATGGATTTGGTAATCCCCCCATGATTACACGCAGGAGAGAAGGAAGAGGACCTCTGCACCAAGTCCATTCTGATCGACGTAACAATCGTCAACCCATCAGCAGGTCGAAGCATCGACAAGTCGATCCTTAAGCCAGGATCAGCCCTCGAAGATCGAGCTGCAAGTAAGGCAAATCACTATGCGGGAACTTTCAACCCGTCTAGATCTACCCTCCTTACTGCTGCTTTTTCAACGAATGGTGGTCTTGGCAAAGGCACCAATCGACTCATCGTTGCTATCGCCAACCACTTGGCGCACGAAGCTTTTTGCCGGGAAAATTTTGACGACGAGAGGGCCTTAGTTCGCCTGAAAGCTTTTCATACTAACAGGACTAGAAGACGGTTTACCTTCGAGCTAGCTCGTTTTCTGTCGATGCGAACTCGCGATGTGTTCAAACGTCATGGGCTACTGATCGACCAACTTCCACCAGGGCCAATCGGTTGGGATCTCTGCGACAACGATAGTAGTGAGGGTAATTCTTTTGGGAGTGACGAAGACGAAGGAAAGGGAAAGGGGAGAAAGGAGGATGACGACGATGGAGCAGAAAAACATGGAGGAGTGGAAGAGAGCAAAGGGTTTGAGCCAGATGACCTTCCCCACAACAAGAAACGTAGGGCTAGGGAAGAACTGCCCAGAGATTCTTCTTGTCGAAATGAGGATCAGAATGATGGTAGCGAAAACAAGGTGGACACTGGTGAAAGAACTCCTAAACGAACTCGAGTACTAGGAAATAGCCTTGGTAGACATGTGCATTATTCGTCTGTTGCTGCTGTTTCTGTTTTTTATCCGAAGGATAGCTTAGCCTCCCCCATGCTGCCCCCTCACGGGGTCCCAGTTCATGGTAGATAGAAGTGTTTTGTGTTTTCAACCGCACTAAGACTGACGTCTTTTCATTGGTCAGCCGGTTAGCGCGGTCGATGCTAATAATAAAATAAAAACACACACACACACACACACACACAAGACATACAAGATGGATTTAGTGATCCCCCCAGGATTACACGCAAGAGATAAAGAAGAGGAATGATTCTTCTTGTCAAAATGAGGATCAGAATGATGGAAGCGAAAACAAGGAGGATACTGGTGAAAGTACTCCTAAAGGAACTCGAGTACTAGGTTATAACCTTGGTAGACGGGTGCAGTTTGCTTCTGTTGCTGCTGTTTCTGTCTTTGATCCGAAGGATAGGTTAGCCTCCCCCATGTTGCCCCCTCACGGGGTCCCAGTTCATGGTAGATAGAAGTGTTTTGTGTTTTCAACCGCACTAAGACTGACGTCTTTTCATTGGTCAGCCGGTTAGCGCGGTCGATGCTAATTAAAAAAAATACACACACAGATATGAGGAACGATCGGAATGAAGAACCTCGGAGACGAAAATCGAAATTATTCTGAAACTGACGACAAAACGGCACCAATTCCACCGACCCTTGATCGCCCATGCAGCACACAGCGGACATCCGTCCGCTGCTCTCTTGGAACCGCTCGAACTCTATGTAGTTCTTCGTACGTGTGCTCCCAGCTTGCTGAGGACCGTGCTGGACAAGACCATGTCGACGACGGTGAATCGTTCATTGAATCAATCATCTCTGCTGTATGCATCTACAGCAGTCGTACATGCGCAACAGCAGTTAGACCTTTGGCGCTGCACCTTGGCATCCGCAGCAATCATGCGCAGAAGAACCTGACATCACGACGGAACGTTCAGTCGCGATCGAGAAAGATGTGGATGTCCTGCGCGTCCGCTGTTGTGCGTTATGTCGACACTTGCGCCTTGTGCGGTGCATCTCTCTCTCTGCAGATTCATGGATGCGTCGATAACGAAGCTTTCCTCGAATCGCAACTAGGAGAGGAGGTACTGAGCGGAGAGGGGAAGGTCGCAGATCTTTGGTCAGTTCGTACTGCTGAGGAGGCTGTGGGGAAGTTTGGGTAAGGGATTCGCCACGGCCGAACAACACAGCAGCGTACTCATTATCATCCTGAATTCACGCGGTGGTTCGCTTTCGGTTGTCATGTTACGCCCAATGGATCCGCATACATACAGGGTGTGACTGCATTCTCCTAATAGCGCCACGGTGTGCCTACTACACCGCAATAGCGCTTTCTACCCAGGCCAGGAACGGTAGGAATCTATGTCATAATAGGGTACTACAGTAGGCCTCTCTAAAGTGCAGTAGATTACGCACCCGCTATTTACTAAAATATGGTTTCCCCGTCCGCTGTCGACGTACTTGCTCGTGTACCGAACAACAGATACGCCCCCGGGGATCGTATTCCGCGCCGGGATCAGATCAAGATATTCGAGCGCGTTCACGAGGTCATTAGTGTAAGAAAGCTCGACCTGGTCGGTGAGAAAAAATGGAGGATTCATTTGGTATTAATGATCCTCCTGTCGACACTGAGGGTGCCACCTGTTCCGGTTTTCGTCTGCACTCCTTGAGAATCCCCGCTACACGTAGTTTGCTTTCCATGCATCCCAAACATGGTGAAATCGACGGTCAGGCCAAAAAGAAAGGTAAAGCACTCAAGGTTACAGGCTAGCATCTTCGATGCTTGGCGATACGTAGCCTGTCGAACAATACGGTCTTGGGGTCGGGCGACATACAGAGGCCTGCCCGAGTACCTGTGTGACGATTGAAGTAGGTTGAGCGCACTGATTCCCATAGACTAGACTATATGGTTTCGAGATGGAATCAAACGCGTACGGGTGTTCCTCAATGGCGGCCTATTTCAAGTCGACTGCTCGCAGGTCACCTCCAATTCGTTTGCAAGTAATGCCATTTCAGAGGTATGACGGGCACGGGATACAGCTCGACTCAGAAGAGAGCACGGCATATAGCAGCACACACACAGTCAGTTTTGACCGTCGGGGGCATTTCCCGTTAACACGCGGCATACCTTGCCGCTTGTGCTCCGTATCGTGGGTCAACAATGGATTGCGGTTTCGGCAGCTGGTGGACGCTATGAGGAAGTGGTGAAGCTGCAAGACACACTTTGTGTACTCAAGGCCCAGTTTCAGAAGCTTCAGCTCACTGATATTGGCAATGACCAGACGCAGCAGCGCGCCCTCTACAATAAGGCCCAAAAGGTATATGGCTTTAAGCATTCATTGGTGTGGTTTCGAAGCACCCACGATGTGGAAAGAGTAGCACCAAGAATTGCATAGGCTCAGCCGCTGGCTGATGAGGGCAAGACTGCGCGTATTTTTTTCGGAGCGCTCCCTGTAATATCGGACATTCATTCAGTGGACCTCTAAGTGTTGATCGAAATGTGTGGATACGCAACGCACGTTTCTGCTTCCAGCTTGTACATCTTCACGCTATCGTTGGACGTCAGATCTTTCCACTTCGATCTCTCCTCATTCTCTCTCTCTCGCGTTCCCTCTTGCTTGGTTGTCTCACGAAGAAACGCATAGAACACTGTGCTTGCACGATGAACTCGGCGGGGGCGCGAGTCGAAGAGGTCTGCACCATGCGAGAAGAGGAGCTTGAGCAATTGCACCGTGCTCAAAAGGAAACGCTTGAGCTGGAGCTCAGCTGGCTCCCAAAACCACGCATTAAGTACACCAAACGTTTTCTCGAACTACAGAAGACCAAAGCCGGGTGAGAGAGTCGTCGCCTGGTGAAAAAGTACGCACTCTTCACGGACGATTTCCGTGTCCAACACGATGATGCTAATATCGTTCTTGCAAGATCGGTCGTCGTCAGTCTGTGGCTGAAAATGACTGGCTACGGTGTTACAACAGCTTCAATCTGTCTGTGTCCCTTCGCTTTACGGAACATCGACCTGATTCAGTTTCTTGGTGCTTTCGCGTATCCATCGTGCATCTTAACGTGCACGACAAGTCTCGTGAGGCTTCACCAATACCACGACGCCCACACGGTTCACAAGGCTCTGGTCAAGCTGCAACCAGTGGAAGAAAAAGCCTTCCTCGCCGAGTACAACGCCCAGGTAGGTCTCTAGTAGGCTTACTACGACGGCGCCCTCATGTGCTTCTGCCAGAAGTCAGCTGTTGTGCTCGCAAGCAAAAACCGATCCAACGGGAAAATAAAACTGGGTTTATCCGTGCCCGCTTCAAAATCCTTCGGCGTGCAAATCTCTACAGCCCGATGGTGCTGTATCTTTTTATACATACACGTATGTCCACCATGCTTTGCTGCTTTGTTGAAGTCGGACAAAAAACGTACTTCGGCAAAAGCAGATCGCCCTGAAACGGCAAGCATTGGAGAAGCGCCAGGCGCACGACCGGGAAAAGCTGCGTGAGTCTCTGACCGACTTCCGCCTTCGTGAGGAGAGAGAACGGAACAAGGTCATAGAGAAGTGAGAACAAGTGAGGCATGTTCGAGTGACGTAAAAGATGGTCTATTGTGGGAATATCCGGTGGCGGGGAAAATTCGCTGTGTAGGTTGTCAGCGTTGGTCATAGGTGGGTGGAATTTTTCCGGACACAAAGGTCTCCCCGCGTTCATTGGGGTCAGATATCGCGGCGTAAGCGTTACACTCGCGTCATACCCACGGGCTTCGGGCGTGTCGTTGGCCATTGTTCTTGGACACAGGCACTCAACCCGCCTCGGCACTACCTACGGCCCGTTCCACCTCGCACCACAGGTTCATGTGATGTTGGGTTTGAAGATTCTACATTTCGTGACTCTGCTCACTTGGCTACATATCGTGCTTGCGGCTGCTCCTATTTGTTACGGTAGCGTGAAGAGCAAGCTGAAGCACAGCGAGAGAAGCATGGGCCACGCGCATGTCATGGCCCTCAAGCGTCGGCCGGAACTCGCCCAGAAACCATCAGCCCACTGGCAGCAGCGCGCACACTTTGCCTCGTCGGCGGCGGCGTTGCGAGGAGAACAGTTGGCGCAAGCTGTTAAGGTAACAACGTAGCACTATTGCTTATTAACCTTGCCGCCTATCTCTTCTCAAGCCTCTCTTCTGCATCCACTCTGATGGCGTCCTGCTTCTAAATTGCATCACAGTGTACAACTTCGGTTCTGTAAATCTGACCACCCACCCAACCAGCGCGGCATGTGCATATGCGAGGCGGTTGAAGCACGTCGCCTGGTCTGTGATGTAGTACCGAGGATCGTTCGATGGAGCACTAATTTTGTTTTATTTCCTTTTCTTCCGCTGTGTGTCATTGTGCAACAGGGAAAGGCCAGCGGCAGCGCCATCAAAGTTGCAGACCTTACCAGCATACATGACTTCGGGAAGGGTCTGAGCGGGACGGTCTCGACGTATGAAGACACCGCCACTGCATCATGACGGCTGTGATAGGCGCCGTGGGAAAGGGAGGGGGGGGATTTCATGTCAACTGCTGCTGCAGTCGGTGATGGAAAGCCTTCCGGAAGTCTGTCACGCCTTTCATCTTGCTTCATGTCTAGCCAAAACGCGTTTTTCACGTCGTTGTAGATCGGTAGGTCGCGGTAACTGCGTGTGTTCGGTTTGCTGTGGTGTAGTCGAAGTCTTCTGCCGACGTCAATGAAAAAAACTCAACACGATCAAACACACACATTGGTAGCCAGTGCCTCCCCCGGATAGCAACGTTTAGCGAATGTAGAAGCACAGCAAAGTAGCAGCGTTGTCTGGTGTGCAGCTCATAGAGTTTGAAACTCGAAGTGGGTGTGGTGGATCTGGAAGGGAGAAACAACGATACCCGTTCGAGCTCTCTGGTCCCCGTGCGAAGGTCATTGAAGCTCTGTCATCGCTACCATTTGAGGTATTATTTCACCTCGTGAGTTTCGATCGCGCTTTTAATCGCGCGTTGGTGTCATCTCTCTGTTGCCAGCTCTCTCATCCCACCAACTCTCGTTAATGACGTAATTTCGATTAATGCTTTTTTTTCTGCTAGAGTGATTGAATCTTCAACGCCCCCCCTTCCCCAGGCGCGGAGCGACTTTACACAAAGTACCGCAGGTCACAGAAGATACCACTCCCTCTGGACCGATTTCCAAAGCTCGATTACTCCGCGACGAACAAGATACATAGATCAATTGTACAATTTCAAAAATCTCTCCACACAACGGTTCGAACGCCGCCATTTTCGGCATCACCACTCTTTTGTCTGTGGAGCAGTCGACCTTTGGAAATTGGCCCAGGGGGGGTGGTATCATAGGTCACCCTCGGTCTGGAGATGTGACCTAGTGGTACATATTTGCAAGGGACTCAATCAAGCCTTCCAAAAGCAGGAACGCAAGCTACTGCTACCTCATTACCGTGTGGTACAGGAGTAGCTGTGGCAGAGCGCGGTGCCAGCGGCCGAGGTTACACACACTCCTCCTCCCCTCCCCGGCCTGCTCCCCGGCCGGGGCCGAAATCGACCTTGTGAGTCCCTCGCGGGCGAACCAGGCCACAACAGATAGTAGGTGGGTGGTGTCCCAAGGTGCAACTCACCGCCGCGCTGGCTCAGCGTGGCGGTGAGGATGCACAGACGGTGGTAGTGGCGAGACGTGTATGTGGACCTTGTCCCCGCGGCAGCAATGCAAAGCGGCAAACTGCACCTGGTAACCACCGTCGCGGAAAACGTGGCCCACGAAGCTGGAGGAGCAGAGAGATTCGTAAACAACACGCGAGTAAGCACCGTTCGCGGGAGAAGGGAGATAACCGCGTGCGACGCGGGGGGGGAGTGCTGCACCCTCCTCGTCCAAACACCACAGGCAAGCACCGAGCCCTGCAAAGATGGATCGATGCGAAGAAACTCGCCGCTCGGATTAAACTGAAGAAAACACACCCCCAGCGCGAGGCGGACCGAGAGCGACAGGAGATCGCAGCGGGCGTGAAGGCGACCGCGAAGAAGAAGGCACGGGAGGGCGATTTATCGTTCGGCACGTTCAACGTACGCACGCTCGCCTACAGCGGCAGGAACCCCATCGGCCACAACGTGATGACGGTCATGCAGATCTGTGCCGCGACCGACTGTGATGTGATAGGACTCCAAGAGACCCGACGAGCGGGACAAGGCGCGATTACACACGACGGGTACGTGATCATCTGGAGTGGTGCCCGTGCCGGCACCAAGGACAAGAGGGGCGTGCACGGTGTGGGCATAGCGATTAAGGAG